TAAGTCAATCTACTGTTTTCGGTTCCGGCTTATCACGGGTTTCTACCTTACCAATTTCCTAAGCGATTTCGATCTCTATTCGATTCCTATGTCAATTAACAAGCGCAAAATACATAAACTAGATTAACAATCCTATATTCCTAATTAAGCAAACGGATTAAGTTTTCGTGAATTAAGCAAACACGAATTATAAACGCGAATTAACGATAAAGCGACGTAACGACGAATAAAAGCTAAGGATGCAATCATACGAATTTAATCAAAACAATTCTATAACCTAACAGATTAAGCAAAAGCAATTCATAGAATAGTGTTTAAAGAGAAACGAATTAGATTGATAAAGTAAAAACCTCAAAGCGTTGGAACGCGATTACAGTAGAATGACTCTAAGGAATTAGCTCTCCATGGTTCTCTCAAAGCTCCGAATGTATTTTTCGTGAAAATGTAACTAGGTGAACAGTAACACAAGTATTTTTCCTTTAAAAAGTAAGCAAATTCGGGTCATAACCCAACTGGGTCGAAAACATAACCCAGGCCCAGTACATGACCCAACACTAAAATAAAATTCTAATGCAGTAACTTCAAACGGAATTCTGGAATTTTGGGCTCCGAATCTGACTTCGACTCCAACACGAAAGTCGTAGCTCTCTCTCTTAGCTTTCCGGCAAATTTTAGAACGCCTCAAACGGATTTTCGGAACTCCAGTTATGATCGTTTCCGTGCAGACTGCTAAAGCTGAAAAATAAGTGCGGAAATCAAATTAAGCCAAAAATAAAATAAAATATAAAAACAAAATAAAACATAAAAATAATCAAGATAAAGTAAAGAAATGCCTAAGTAAAAATATAGGAGAAAGTGCGTAAATATGCACTGATCACTCATCACGCTGGGAGCGCTTAAGCGTCTCCCCATGGACACAAACCTTAGGATCTATGACATTTTGATATTAATGATTATAGGAATACCTTAACGAATATAATGAGAAAGATTTTTAGACAATGACAACGATAATTCTAAAATACAATAGTGTACAGACAAGTGTTTGACACTGGTTGGCTTGTGGATTTTTCTCAACCGGTACTCGTAATGTCTTGAAAACTCTTCTAATGGGGATAAAAAGAGATAATTTTCTTATAGGACGATATATTTGTGATCATAGTCTATATATAGAATGATAATCATTTAGAAGTCTCATTATTTCGAAATGGATTATCTTGACATCCACTTATATTTAAGCACATATTCAGTTAAATAATTAATTATTAAATATAATTAATTATTTTATTTACTTACTAAACCGATTAAGATATATATATATATATATATATATATATATATATATATATATATATATATATATATATATATATATATATATATATATATATATATATATATATATATATATATATATATATATATATATATATATATATATATATATATATATATATATATATATATATATATATATATATATATATATATATATATATATATATATATATATATATATATATATATATATATATATATATATATATATATATATATATATATATATATATATATATATATATATATATATATATATATATATATATATATATATATATATATATATATATATATATATATATATATATATCATCACACGGGGTCGGCCCAATCCATCTCTCCGTCGTGGAGGGCCTAGCTCATTGATCAGTTGTCGCTCGCGGATCAAAACGAGTGTTTTTGATGAAAACGTAATACAGCGACAATTCAACTCGGATATCGTCTCAAGGATTCTTTTATGTGATTAATCTACCAAATTCGAAATGGAGGGGGAGTTGGTTTGGTTTCTGATCAGATAAATAAAGAAAATGCAATTAAGCGGTTAAAATAAGTGATTATCAAAATAAGTCAATCTACTATTTTCGGTTCCGGCTTATCACGGGTTTCTACCTTACCAATTTCCTAAGCGATTTCGATCTCTATTCGATTCCTATATCAATTAACAAGCGCAAAAGACATAAACTAGATTAACAATCCTATATTCCAAATTAAGCAAACAGATTAAGTTTTCGTGAATTAAGCAAACACGAATTATAAACGCGAATTAACGACAAAGCGACGTCACGACTGTCGCTACTCGAAAAATGCATCGTGCAACGACGGGGAGGCGAAGAGAAAGGACAGAAGAGTCGCCACCGAACTTTATTTATCCCATGAGGGGAAAGGAAAATATCGAGAAAACCTTAAGAAAGAAATGGATAAGATGGTCTCGCAACCATGAACGGGTTCGGAAGCCGGTTATGCGAGGGGAAGGTATTAGCACCCCTCGCATCCATCGTACTCGATGGGAACCTTTTGTTTGTCGATGTGTGATTATATTTGCTAAAATATTATGCTATAAGAAGTGTGCCAAAAGATAGAGAGAAGGGTTTAGAAACGAGGAAGGAGAGGTAACGGAGGGGAGAGGAGAAAGAACGGACTCGGTAGGACTTCGCAGTCCTATGCCTACGTATTCTCAATAGATGTGAGAAAGTCAGAGTCGACGTAGTTCGAGGAACTACAGATATGGGGGGGAAGGTGCTCGACAAGGATTGTGGCCCTTGTGCCTACGTATCTTTACTTGAACGAAGTAAAGAATCAGAGCAGCCGTAGTTCGGCCTACAGTGCGGATAACCGGTGAAAAAGGGAGCTCGCCAAGACATCGCCGTCTTGTGCCTACGTGTTCTCATCTGACATGAGAAATCAGAGCAAGCGTAGTTCGTGCTAACAGTGTGTTGATGTTTTTTTTTTATGGATGATGTTATCGTACGCATTCTAGCAGTTAGGTGTTTCGCTGCTCGCTCGTTGGAAACTTAGGCATTACCTGTTTGCGGTAGAACGGACGTAACATATCCCTTTTGAAAGATTGATTTGTTTTCGCCACGCGGGGCAAGAAGTCACGTTTGATTGATTGGATTGTTTTTTAGGGGGCGAGACAGGTTCTCGGATAGTAACCCCTACGGGTAGTACCCAATTTGTTATCTCAAAATTTTTGTTATAAAAAGGTGCGGCGAACGAGGCGTCTTCGTATTGAAAGACGAGTGTCGAAACCACCCTCACTACAGTGGGCATCCCAACGCTCGGAGAAGAAGAGGTCTACACCCAATCCTCTCCCTTTAATTCAACATAAAGAGAGTTTCATTCTCTTATTAAAAGTATTTTGGTTATGAATGGTAAGTGCTTTGCGACAGAGAACCCTACGGTAAACGTCAGTACTCGGGATAGGAGAAGGCCTACGCCTAACCACTCCACGACCATTCAAGTTTTTGTTGCGAAAATGATTTGAAAATGCACTCGGTACGGGACCGAGGTTTTAGGTGAGAAAGGTTTCGGGAAAGAGTTGTGAAAGGAGAGGTGGTGGAAGAAGTCGCGTCTTCGTATCGAAAGACGAGTGTCGAGACCACCCTCACTACAGTGGGCATCCCATCACTCGGAGAAGAAGAGGTCTACACCCAATCTTCTCTCTTTAATTCGATATAAAGAGAAATCAATTTATTGAAAGATGGTTTGAAAATGGACTCGGTACGGGACTGATGTTTTTAGGAGAGAAAAGTTTAGAAGCGTCTTCGTATTGAAAGACGAGTGTCGAGATCACCCTCACTACAGTGGGCATCCCAACACTCGAAGAAGAAGGGGTCTACACCCAATCCTCTATTTTTAATTCAACACGAAGAATTGTTTTAAAAATATTTTCAAAGATACACTTGGTACGGGGCTGATGTTTTAGGGGAAGAAGCGTTGGGGAGAAATGTTCTCAGATCCAACGTTATCCATCAATATTTCGATTGATAACGAATTACGGAGGTCTCGTCATCGACCCAAACAGATGAAAATGAGACAAAAAGTCCTATGACAAATGAGAAAATCAAATCCAACTTCTAAGAGAGAAAATGAATCAAAATTCTAAAAGAAATTGAAATAAAACCCGAATAGAGAATAATATAAACTTCTATATAAAATATTATAAAAAACAATATACTTGTAGAATTCAAAAGAAATGAATACAATATAATAAATATTAACAAATCTGTTTTGAAAAATAATATATAAATTAAAACTAACCAAAAGTATAAAAAGAATAAATTAAGTTTACAAATTAACATTTACAAAAACCATTAAACGAAACAGAGGGGGTACAACTTGGAGTGTGGAAGAAAACCAACCTCTGTAAAAACGCAGGCAAAGAGCATTACGAAGCAAATCAAAGTGAATCGCACCACATCTTCACTAGGAAGAGTATTTCATCTCCAGACGCCTCCGTTCATTCCAGGCTTAGGATTAAATGTTTCCTCCTTCTCTTTCTCGATCTCTCGGTTTCGAATTCTCCCTCCATTCTATTGGTTTGCTTTGTTCATGGTTTTAGCGATGGGGGGTTCTGATGAGTGGGTCTCGCGATGGTGTTGAAATCGGAGGGTTTGAAGCTGAGTTGAGTGGTTGAAGCTTGAAGGAGGCGGACGGATTGAGGAGAAGGTAACCGCTTTGGTTTGGAAGAATAGGTTTGAAGAAAATAAGAATCAACAGTGGAGATTAATGGAAGAAGGTACTGAACAGAGACGCAAAAGTCGCCCACTATATGTTCGATGAAAGTTCTATTATGGCTTTGAGGGTTTAATGGAGATTTCTGGGTGATTTACTTAGTTGAGGTGTTAAGAGGATGATGATGATGTCGGTAAGGATTTCGAAGAGGGTGGAAATGGCTTCGCCGGTGAGCTTCCGTTTGTGTCTGATGATGATGGAAGGAAGGTGAGGTGAGTGGATTTGCAGAGTGGGTTCGAAGGTGATTCGAAGAAAAACGGTGGAGGAAGTTTCTGGGCAGAGTGTTTGAAGGTTTGAAATTGATAGTCTGGGATTGTGGTTTTTGTGTTGATTTTCAGAACTTGGTAACTGGGGTTTTTGTGTTTTGGGTTTTTGAGAGTTAGAGATGGAGAGATTCAACAGTTGATGGTTTTGTTCTGGGCTTTGTGTTATTGGTTGAATCGTTGTGGGGAAAAGCAGGTTTTGATCAGAGGAGGAATGAAAGTGTGGCTCTTCATGTCCCCCCACCAATGAAGATTAAGTTGTGTTATATTGCTGGTTTGTTTGGTTTTCACTACAGGTTGCAGGTTTGTACAACCTAGTGTAGCAGGGGGCAGGCTGTATTGTCGCAGAGTTGTCTGGTGTGGAGGATGTGTTTTGTTGGGAAGTAGTAGCAGTGATGTTGTTGTGCAAGGGCTGGAGCAGTAATAGCAGGTATTGTCTGGCATGGGATTTGTGTTAGCTGCAAGTTTGTTGTCATGATGCTGCAGGTTATTATGTGGTGTGGTATTGGTGCATTGAAACTTTGACAAAAATGAACTGCCAAAGCTTGTGAGGCCACTAAAAGGCATGCTAGCATCAACAGCTACAGTATTTCCAGGAATGCTCCTCTCATCAGTTCCAGACATGACAGCGACAAATCTGTCAGTTGTAGGTTCTGGTCCAATGTGCGCCCCTGGATATTCACATCTTAGCAAGTGTTTAATGAATGTTGTTTTCCCTGTAGAATATTGACCAAGAAGCATGACCATTGGTTTAGCATCAAAATCACTGTTGGTCAATAATGGAGACACAAAATCATTGAATCGATAAGTAGCCTCCAACGGTTTTAGCCGCTCCACATACAATTTCTTCAGGCCATCTATTATTGATGTCACTGCATTGAGGGGTAACTTCTTTGCAGATTTTGAAGCAGCTCGTGGAAAAGGCTGAAGCTGGCCAGTCCCAAATACATCGGGTTGTGCATTCATTGCCGGACTCTTTGTATTTGCTACTAGTGCATCAATTCCTTCCAAGACTGGAGGTTTGATCTTGTCGCTGTCAATTTCAGTTTTAAGTATATCCGAGTTGAGATCATATCCTGCCTGACCCACAGAAATGAGCTGCATTGCAGTAACAAACTCTTCAAAACCTAAAAAACCTTGTCTCTTGGTATCAGCAATCGCCCAAACCTGTTTGAGTTGAGGGCGAGACAAGGTGGAGAGAGCGAAGAACTTGGTGGCATCATTTTCAGTGACACGGCCATCGCCATCTGAATCTGCCAAGTTGAACCATTGCTTGTACAAATTGATGTGTTGATTCAAAGATGAACGGATCCAATCGGAAACAGTTATCATGATTTTTGAATGAATCTGTGAAGTTAGTTACGCAATGAAGTCACAGTATCGAATCTCAAAATGTTTGTTTATTTGAGTTTCGAATTTTTGAGTCCTATCGTTTACTTCAATCAGCTTCATCTTCACTTCTTGTCCAACAGAAAGAACACTCGCAACATCCTTTACATAACTATCACTCAACATAGAAATATGAACAAGCCCGTCTGAGAAAGCTCCGATATCAACAAATGCACCGAACGTCCGGATAGATACTACTTTCCCCGTAAATTCTGCACCTGGAATCAATTCCTCTTTCTTTACCGGAGGCATCTCGCTTTTCCTCCTCGGTATTACATGTTTTGCTTTTACAGAACTAGTGTTCTCATCGGACTTAGGAGATGAATCTACGCTTTTTACAACTTCAACTGAAGGAGATTCACTAGAAACTTCATCTGAACTAGGTAAACCTGTTACCTCCACGGGTGCTTCTGTTTCTGTGGCTGATATGGAGGTTCTCTAGTTGTTGCAAGGCTGCCACTACTGCTTCTTTCTGTTTCACTCGATTGCGTTTCCATTTTGTAAATGGGGCGATTGTAGTGAGTTAAAATACGCAAAATTTCGCCACATGCCAGAGCCCACTGTTCTGAATATTCGTTCTCATTTTTTTTGCAGACTAAAGATATCAAAGAAGCAAATGGAGGACTAGTCTTATCATAGACTAGTGTGCCGTTGATAATACATGAAATAATTGGAAGTACAACTGCATGCCCATGCTATGGAGAATGAAGGACAAATGTTGCCAAAACATCATCAAAGAGGAGAATTTCCTTCGACGGGTAACGGTTGCGGATCAACCCAACAATATTGTCGGCAAATTACTCTGATGTAAACTGAATCAAGTATTCAACATATGCAGCAATTTGATCCTTCTTTTGCTGACCATCTTGTGGAGGAGGCCCAAAACAGTGAGGAAAATTGAAGACGATCAATCCACCTTTCACTTGTAGCAGCCATAGTTGAAGCCATCAAAAGCTTCCAAATCTCAAACTATTCCCTTCTTCTTTTGCTTCTGTGTTTAGAGCTTAATTTCTTTTTATTTGTTGACAGAGCCAACGCCAGAATTTGAACTTGCGGCAAATTCTGTGCCAGACTGTGAAAGTTGTTTGGCGCTGAGAAATCGCCCACCGGATCCTCTAACCCTTTTCAAAGCATGCCGGTGCCGAGATTCATGAAGACATGGTTTGCGAGATTTTATGAGTTTGTTCTGAGCCTTAAGCTTTGCTCGTGACTGTCGTCTTCTCAGGATACCGTGGTATTGTTTTGCATTGACATAGATGGGTCCATCTTGTGCAAGATCAGGTGGTAACGTAACTCGATTGGATGCTGACCCCATCATCTGAGGTAACATTTGGGGCTGGTTAGTAGCCTGCGGGGCATAAGCAACTAACGGACCAGCAAAAGTTGGATCGGCGTAAGGATAAGGAGCATGAGCCATAGAGTGATTAGGATCAACTTGTGAAGAATTGAACTCAGTTTCAGAAGGATGATTCAAAAACATAAAAGGCTTCATGTAATCTTCAACAACACTGTAAAATTTAGAACTTGGCCTTTGGGATCTAACAAAGATATGTATGAAGAAGAAAGAGAAGTAACGTTTGAAGTGTTGTTGTTGGGTTGAAATTGGGCATGTCCCCCCTTTTTTAATTTTCTATTTGTTGTAAATTGTAAACAAATTATACTCTGCTATTAACAGTGAGTTTTTGGAAATTCTGGATGGACTTGATAATGAATGTGGATGATACTTGTAGTATATCAATTTATTTTGGGGTGAATGAACCTCGTTGGGCCTTTTGCACCATAACTTGCTATTTGCACCATAAAACAAATTGAGACACTTGAAATAGATCATTGTTTCTCTGTTATCCATATTCAATCCAAACTGAATCAGACATAAGCATTGCGGATAAAAACCAGAAAAATGAATCCATCCTCCGTTTGTACTTTTGAGCTATATTCAAACATGATCATAGATAACCTTAATTCATGATTAGAATTCCAAAACATAATCTATGATTCTCACAAACATCATTCTTGAATTTTCACTTAAATAGAGCACTGAATTGATTCATATTTTCATCTTGACCTGATCACTTTGCTTGACGACTTGATCATAACCTCCTTGATCAGGTTAAAAAAAACCTTGATAATTCTTCTTGTCAGACACAAATACCTCGATCCCCTGTGGAATGCAAAATGTTATGCAATGCTAATGCTAATGATGCAATAAAACATAAGCCAAAGAGGTTGGTCAAATTTTGGGGTACAACAGTTGCCCCTATTCAAACGGCTTGGACCTGAAGGGATGAAAGGTGAACAACTTTCATACAATCAAGGTAAAAGACGGTTGAATACCCAAGAACCCGGAAATTTGACAACCGCGAAACGAACCTCTGACATCGCCGCCAGGAACCCATATTAAGTAGAACGTCTGACCTCGCCGTCAGCTCTTTTAATAGCATCTAACCTCGCCGTCAGATCTCAACGTCAAAATTATAAATCAACTGACTTTATCGTCGGTCTTCAATATTTTCTGACTTCGCCGTCAATTTTTCACAGGACCTTGGTAAAGTCCCTGACTTCGCCGTCATCTCTTAAAACAATCTTCTGACTTCGCCGTCAATTCTTAAAATAATCTTCTGACTTTGCCGTCAATTCTCAAAACAATCTTCTGACTTCGCCATCATTTCCAACAGTTTTGACTTCGCCGTCAACTCTTAAAATAATCGGTAAAAGCATCTGACCTCACGGTCAGGCCTCGACATTAAGTTGGTAAAAAGATCTAACCTCGCCGTCAGTCCTCTGTTAAATACAAACAGATATTGAATCCAAAGATACGATCCTCCGACATTGCCGTCAAGACAAAATCCAACATCGCAGTTGGAAGAACCAAATTACCTGACATCTCCGCCAAGAACAAACATCTAGCATTGCTGCTAAAGAATCAAATCCTTTTGACATCGCCGTCAAAACAAACTTTCAGCATCGCCGCCGAAAAACTGAATCATATGATATCACCGTCAGAACTAACTTCTCAACATCGCCGTTGAAGAATAAAATCATTTGACATCGCCGTCAAAACAAACTTTTCAACATCGCCGTTGAACAAACAAATCACTCCGACATCGCCGCCAAAACAAACTTTTCAACATCGCCGTTGAACAAACAAATCCTTTTGACATCGCCGTCAGAACAAACTTTCAACATCGCCGCTGAAAAACAAAATCATCTGACATCGCCGTCAGAAATAAACTTTCAACATCGCCGTTGAATAAACAAATTATTCCGACACCGCCGCCGGAAACAAACATCCAACATCGCTGTTGGAGAAACAAATCACTCTGACATCGCCGCCAGAAACAAACATCCAACCTCGCCGCTGAACAAACAAATCATTCTGACATCGCCGCCAGAAACAAACATCTTACTCCGACATCGCCGCCAGAAACAAACATCCAACCTCGCCGCTGAATAAATAAATTATTCCGACATCGCCGCCAGAAACAAACATCCAACCTCGCCGCTGAATAAACAAATTACTCCGACATCGCCGCCAGAAACAAACTCCTCAACATCGCCGTTGAAGAATTAAATCATCTGACATCGCCGTCAGAACAAACTTCTCAACATCGCTGCTGAAAAACTAAATCATTTGACATCGCCGTCAAAACTAAATCATCTGACATCGCCGTCAAAACTAAACCATCTGACATCGCCGTCAAAACTAAATTTCCAACATCGCCGTTGAAGAATCAAATCACTTGACATCGCCGTCAAAACTAAACCTTTCTGACATCGCCGTCAAGACTAAATCATCTGACATCGCCGTCAAAACTAAATTTTCAACATCGCCGTTGAAGAATCGAATCACTTGACATTGCCGCCAAGGCCTCGCTGAATATATGAGTAATAAGATTCAAACGAATTTAAGACCATCCATTGGTGACGCCCACAAAAGAATTCTGCTGGGGAAACAGCACGAGTTGGGGTATAGCCAACACACGGGCGGAGATGCTAGTCATCTGCGGGATTCGCTTGAAACAAAAGGGTAACGACTCAGCTTATGTTTCAACATGCATATGTTTGGATGTGACGAAATGCTCCATACGAAATGGAAATGCTTCGCGTTTGGGTAGATGTTATGCATGTATGTAGATGCAAATGAACCAATTTGGCAAAATAGATGCTACAGAGAAAGAGCCCACTCCGTTGAGTCAAGGCTAGATACGCTTAGCGCAAACAAACTCGTGTTGAGGAATACAAGCCCTGGATGGCCTCCGAGAAAAACTTCTGGGTAAAAACTGCTCTGCCGAGATCAAAACTACTCCGCTGGGGATCCTAATCAAAATCTGCTGCAGAAAACGTCCCGGGGGCCTATCAGCCTACAACTCTTTTGGGAAACAAATGACTTGGCTGGAGACAACAACTCCACTCTGCCGGGGAAATCAACCGTGAATGTTTAGCCAGAATAACTTTACTGGGTAAACACAGCTGAGTGCTGGGGAGTAACTCTCTTCTGCCGGAGATTGAATCCACTATCTGCTAGGGATGTTGAATAAGACTTACTGGGAGATTATCCCACTCTCTCTCTGCTGGGGATGGAGATAAACGATTTCTGAGCCGGTTCCACTCTATGGGGAAGGAAAATTAACTCCGCTGACTTGGCTGGGGATTAGATAAGGAGGGAATCAACATCAATCTCTGCTTGGAGAAAATGAGAAGTAAACTTCAACAATACTTCCGTTTGAGGAATGAGTCAATGACCTAGACTCTGAGGGGATAACAGTACTGCACTCGCCCTACTGCTGGGGAAATAAACCCAAATCTGCTTCTATAATTCTGATAAGCTCTGAAGATATGGAGAGGAACACATCTCCTTTGTTTCCAATTTTGCCCCAGCCTGTGGGACTTGATGGTTAGATATGAACTGCTTCAGCGCTTCGAACCCCGAAGAAGTGCTTCAA